TGGCATCTCTCAGGCCATGGAGATGCTTGGGGTGTTCAGCCTGGAGAAGAGAAAGCTCTGGGGAGACCTGAGAACCCCTTCCAGGGCCCAAAGGGGCTCCAGGAGAGCTGTAGAGGGACTTGGGACAAGGGATGGAGGGACAGGGCAGGGGGGAATGGCTTCCCACTGCCAGAGGGCAGGGTTAGATGGGATATTGGAAAGGAATTCCTGGCTGTGAGGGTGGTGAGGCCCTGGCACAGGTTGTCCAGAGAAGCTGTGGCTGCCCCATCCCTGTAAGTGTCCAAGGCCAGGTTGGACGGGGCTTGGAGCAACTATGGTTGAAGGTGTCCCTGCCCATGGCAGGGGGTGGAACGAGATGAGCTTTTAATGTTTTCCTCATGAAATTATGCACATCTGGGACACCCAGCACCATATTGCTGGGAATGATTTGTAGCTTCATACATGTGGAGCTGAGGAGACTCCAAAACTCTAAAGTTTGGAAAATAAATGCTGGAAGCAGCTCTCAGGCTCATTTGTCTGTGAGGAAGGAAGGACCTGTCCAAGCTGCTAAATTGAATTTGGACGTCAAAAGGCACATATGGCACCCAAACTGCCTGTGGCCAAAACAAGGCCCTTCCACAGGAACACACAGAGCTGTGACAGTAACTTTATTTGGCAGTGGAGGAGACACAGAGGTAAAGGCAAATACTGAATGCACAGACAGGGACACCCGCCCTGGGCCCACCCCAGGGACACAGCTCCTGCAGCCACAGATCCAACACTCCTCCAGGCTGCCAGCACCAAGCCAACCCCTGAATCAGAGCGCTGGAAACTGGCCCAGCCCTCCCTCTGCACTGCTGGGAGAACAGAACAGCCTGTGCCAGAAGGGAAGGGATGGAAATCTGCTCATCGAGGCTGCAGGTACGTCACCCAGCCCAGCCTATGTCATGTACCTGTCCTGCTTAACGCTTACCCCTTTGGATGCTCTCTTTTTATTTCTCAGTGTTAAATTAACCCTGTCTTGCATCGCCAATACTGCACATTCCTCTAATAATAATTCCATGCTCTTTGTCTCCACTGCCCCAGTAACAGGCTGAGGGAATCACAGGCTGTAGTTTCACTTGCATTTTCTTTGGCAGATGTGTGGGGTGTTTTTTTTCAGGTTGAGTTATTTTTAACCTGGCTCAATTCCCAAATTAGGTTCACTGCCTGGCAGCAGGAGCAGTTGTACCTGTGCTCTTGGGAGGAGCAGGGGAGCATGTGGAGCAGCTGTGAGAGCAGGACTGAGTGTCCAGAGGGAGCACTGAGGGCTGGTGAAATGCAGCCTTGGCTTCTGATTTTCACAGGCATTGACAAGGAGGTCTAAGAAATTGTCCCAAGGCACATGAGAGCTGGGGAGAGGCTGCTTAGAACACACTGTCAGTCTTGGGAATATATACCATTTCCCAAGATTTGTCCTCAGCTTACCTCATGCAGGCAAAGCCATGAGGTGTAGGTGGCTTAATTCACTCTCTGCCACTTAAGCCACCCCTTTCCCCTCCCTAAAGGGAAAGGAGGAAAGCACAAGTGCAACAGCATGGACAACACAGTTCCAAGTGCCAAAAAAAGCTCTGGGACTGCAACAGCCCCCAGTATCCCCTTGGTGAATTCAGAAGGGCCAGACTTGACCTTTGGTGAGGGCAGCTCATCCCCTCAGCAAAAGAAAAACAGCAAACATGAGCCACGGGTTCTCCAGGAGCCCCGTCCTGCTCTCTCAGGTCAGTGGGAACTGTCAGGGGGCTGTAGGTGCCTTGTGGGTGCAGTGTGGCCCCTTGGAAAGCCTTGTCCCTTCCACACTGTAAGGTCAGGGCAGGATTTTTCCATGTGCTTTGGTGTTGTGACACAGGAACCAGCTCAGCAGAAACCCAGTGATCTGAGCTGCAAAGCTGAGGCTCTCAAGAGCTCAGTGAAGCGTGGCTTGTAGAGAAAGGAACAGCATTCATTAGCTGTAACAGAAACAAAAATGGAGAAGCTTTTTGGGACACAGTGACACAATCCTCTGACCCTGAAACAGAAAATTCCCACTCCAGGATATGTGTCTTTGGGAGAACTTACTCTGGGTTTGACTTAATTATGCCAGGAGAAAAAGGTGGTCAATAGCTGTAGAACTAAGGGCAGAGGCGGCAAGTCCTGCATGTCAGAGACAAATATGTCTCACCTGAGGACAGCAATGGTTTGGATAGTAAGGCTGGATGGAAACAGTAAAATGCACTAAAATCAGTATCCCCATGGTCAGCCTGGGAAGAAAACAAGGGTTACTGAGAGTTGTAGTCATGAGCTCTGCTGTTACCCTGAAAGAGCAATTTGGTTTCTGGGATCAGTTTCTCGTAACGAGGTTTTTATTTCCCCAAAGCTTATTTACTTTTCCAGATTACTGTAGTTCTCTGTAAGCCAGATCTCCTTAGGAAAGCCAGTCCCTGAGGAATCAGAGATAAAATCCTGTTACTTAAAAATGCTTCTCCAACACAGTGGAGAAAAAATAAATAGAAGAAAATCTGCCGCCTTCGAAAAAAAAAAAAGAAAAAGCATGAAAGAAAACCCACTCCAGAGTGAAAGAGTTAACAAAGAGCAAGGTCAGCAGGCTCTATGGAGGCATTGTCTGTGCTGCCAGTGCTGCTGGCCCTGTCCCTGTGCTGCTGCTGCTGCAGAGCCCTGCTCTCCGCAGGGCTGACTCACTCACTCTGCAGTGCTCCCAGCACGGAGCACCACGGATGTGCCAGCACACACACCCTCCTCAGCAGGGACTCATTCTAGGCTCCGAGGCTGCCCGTTCCCCCTCCCAAACCAAACACTGAGTCCCTCCCTGCTACCCAGGGCTGCACTTTGAGCTGGCCTGCTCCTGGCAGTAAAGGAATTCCAAAAACTCAAAAGGTCCCTCATTTTCTTAATGCCTTGAATCACTTGGGAAATTTGCTGATGCAATAGCACCAGTGGAGGACTTGAAATGCGAGTTTTCAGCTTGGAGTCATCACAGAGGATCCAGAGCATCACTATCAGAAAACGCCTGGCCGTGTGCAGACTGTTAATGTGACTCCGGGTGTATCTGCAGGTACTTGGCACAAAGTGATCATCACCCACCTGTGCTCCCCCCAGCTCAGCTCTCCTTGCACGGGTTTGTATATCAATGACAAAGGCTTCACGTTCCAAGGCATGAGACAAAATGCCACTGAAGGGATTTTCTCTGCATGTGGCTCCCTAAGTGCCCATCGCCCGCCTGAGCCTATAACTGCCTCTGCACGGTGTCACCCACCTAAAACTGGGCCTTTCAATTGCTTATTGCCCTTGGAGATGAGAGCTGTCACCAGCATTTGGCTGCTCTCTTAAATGCAATTTGCTTGTGTCCTTGTCAGTTGGCAAAAAGGCTGGCACAGGGTCCCCAAAGCAGGTAAAGCCACAAGATAAGCACAGTGGCAGCCCCAGCTGGGACCCTCTCCCCAGCTAGGACCCTGCCACACAAGCCAAATGCAATTCCTCTCACCAGGACTGCAAGCTGTACCTGGCACGCTCTCCAGAGCGCCTGGATTCAGGATTCACCCCCCAACTGCCCCCACTGCAGTCAGTGTGAGACACAATTATGCTACAGATCCCATAAATGTTTATGACTCCTGGGGAAAGTCTAATTCAGAAGTTCAGAGTCTGTTACTTCTGCTGAAGAACAACCAACATCATGCTGATCACGAACTTCCCCTTACCCCAGGCACTCCTTCAGCAGAGATCCAGAATATTCCTTTGGTCAGCTTGTGCCTCTGTACAGCCCCAGGTGCACCTCTGCTCGCACTGCCATGAAGCAAAGCCCTTCCTAAGCACCACCAGCCCAGCCCACCCCAGAGCCACACACAGCTGACCGATCATTTTAGCAAACAGAATAAGCCAATACATTTGTCAGTAATTACTGATAATCAACAACTGTCAAAACTACACCTTCACCAACATGTGAAAATACACCCTAGCAGAATGATTGGCTCATAGCCACAGTCTCCCAAGCAGTTCCATTCGGGGAACACCCTTGGCAGGTTAGCAGTTCCAAAGTTTCAGTGAATTCCTTATGCTTGGCCACAGCTCTTCATGGTACTTGCACCAGACTCACTGGACAGGTACATGGATGAAACACGTGTACAGCACACCTCCACTCCCAACCAGGGTGACAGATCCCTCCACATTCAGCAGCTTAGTTTGACCACAAAGGCCCTGCTGGCACTAGGTACCTGTGTAATAACAACATTTTGGCTTGAACAAGGTAGAGCTTGGCCTGTTCTTCAAGCCATACACGTAGGATTAAGGTGATATATTCGGCCCTGGAAGGGCCCAACATGTTATTTCCCACAGCAGCTTTGCAGTACTCAAATCCTCAGGCCAGAGAACGCTGCTCCAGCACTCCAGTAGCTGCAGCAGCAGAACCTCCCAACTCAAATGCTCCTGATTTACAAGTTAAAAATACAAGTTCTTGACTGAAGCCATTTTGTTGAGGTACTTCAGAGGCAATTACTGTGGAGACCACAGCTTCCAACGAGCTCAGCTTCTGCAGGGCCAGCATGAGGACAGGACAAGGCAGCTCCTTTCCTTGTCACAGGTTGGAGCCGGCACCCTCATTCCCCGACCCTCAGCGCAGGCTCTTACAGAGCATTACCATGAGCCAGATGTGCTGATCAGGCCAAACACAGCCCTGCATCCCTCCTCACCCTGAGTCCAGCCCACAGCAACAGCTGGTAAAGCAGCTGCCACTGCCCAGGAGAAAGGGAAAGGCATGGCAGTGCTGGCAGCACCACTCCTGCAGGTGTTCAGTCACTCCAGGAACCTGCCTCCCCCCGAGAACCCCTTCTCTTCCCAAAGGAGCAGCAACCACCTGAAATCAGAGCCAGAGGACCCATTACAGCAATGTAGTGAGGAAGTTTTATTTGGAAACATGGTAGAAGTTTGTAACCCAACACTGGGTGCACAACTCTGATGCCGGAGCATACGCGGTTACTACTGAAACACGGGAGTGTTTCGGACAATTGCTGTAATAAAACACAAAATTCTCATACTCCAATACCAGGACACTACAGCAATCTTTAGAATCAAAGTTACATCCAAGGAATTCTCTGCACTTACAATTGACCCCACAGTGTAATCTACCTATATATAAGATTAATATATATAGCATGGGAAATTGAAAATCCTTGCTCCATAGATGTATGAACATGTCAAGTCTTTTATAAATAAACATCCAGTGAAGAGAAAAAATTACATTTCTAGTTCATATTTATACATAAAATACTAACAGCAATGGGTGGAAAATTGCACACGGGCCACCCCAAGCCATGCAGCAGGCTTGGAGCAGCCCATCCAAGTTAATATTGAAGTACACACAGGACAGACAAGTCACTAACATACATTGCGCATTTACAAGAGATCAACTACCAAATTGGGACAACTGTACACATTGGAGAGACCATTTTCATTCTGGAGCTTTTTTTTGTTTGTTTGTTTTGTTAAACGTGGATTTGTTACATCTCTTTACATCATACCGCAACATTTACTTCGTGGAGAGGATAAGGGCAACGATGAGGCCATAGAGACCCAAGACTTCAGCGAAGATCAAAATGAGGATCATGCCCACAAATAACCTGGGCTGCTGTGCTGTTCCCCGGACACCCGCATCGCCCACGATGCCGATGGCAAAGCCAGCAGCCAGGCCACTGAGGCCCACGCTCAAGCCAGCACCCAGCTGAAGGAAGCTCCTGCGGGACAGAGATGGGCACAGTTTCAGTGGCAAGGAACAGGACACCCAGCCTTAAGCTCCTGACTCTTTAGACAAGCCCAGTGTACCTCAAAGCAGATGCTTCCTGGCACTCCCAGCTCCGATACATAAGAAATGGGCAGCAGTGAAGGATCTTCACCTGCTCTTCAGGTAGGACTCATAGTTCAAGCTAAGCTACTGCACCTGGAGCTCATGTGGCCACCCAGTCTGTCTGTGGCCACTCCAGCCACTGTCAGAGCAGCACTAACAGCAGTGCCTGTCCCACAGTGCAGTGTAGCCTGTTAGTAGCTGCTCATCTGCAACCTTATATACAGCCACAGCACATCAAGTGTCTTGCTCTGCAGGAGCTGGGCAGGACTGGTTTTCCAGGCAGGATACCTGAGGAGCAGTCCCTCTCACCATCTGCCCACCTGCTAATTGCATAGGAGCACTTGTACCTGCTGTTTTAGACCACAGCTTGTTAGGCCAAGCACACTGCTCATCGTGTACAGCTTGTACAGTGACACAGATACCTGTCACACCTCAGCAGCACTGTTTTATTCTGAGAGGTCTCAACCAAGCCAGTTCCAGCTATTCTCTAAAGCCAAGAACAGATTGAGTTTCAGACTGTACCTGCTGTAGAGGCCCAATGTATAGCTTAGGGATTGATTTACCATCACATAAAGCAGAAGCAATATTAATTATTCACTTGCATCTCCCAGGCAACAGCAGAACTTGGACAGCCTCAAAAGACCTGTGCATTCCAGGTCTAGAGTCTAGCACAATGACACAAGCTTTGCCTCCTATCCTTGTACACAGTTTCTCTCAAGCCGCAGCCCACAGCACGAGCTGCAACAGTGGGAGCCCGATTGATCTGTGCCAGCCAACGGAGCCGGGAGCACCGCTGGGGCTGAGGCAGCACAGCTGGAATCCAGCCTGTGCTCCCAAGCCCAGCTCAGGAGCACTTAGCACCGACAGCCCTTCCAGGGCCTTTAGCCAACCCCACCCACACTCAGGGCATCAGAAAAGGGACAGGACAATCTGAAACAGAAGTGCCACATGGAGCAACTTACTTGAATAGCGTGATGGTGGGTGAGAGGGCGTTGGCAATGAGCACTGCCACTACGAGGCCATAGATCGCTATAATCCCCGCCATGACCACAGGGATGATGGACTTCATGATCAGCTCAGGCCTCATGACAGACATGGCTGCAATACCCGTGCCACTCTTTGCTGTTCCATATGCAGCTCCCAAGGCTGGAAGAGAACAAAAAAAAAAAAAAAAAAAAAAAAAAAATTAGGCACATCCCCAAATACCACTTCCTTCACTAGGCTGCAGTGTGAGAACAGCTGAGCCAGCACAAGGAAGCATTGTGCAAAATTACCAGGGTCACTTGACAGCCAGGAATACTTGCCTAATGGATGAGGAAGTGACCTATCCAGAGTTCTAGATCAAAGCCAGATCACTAAGAAGGTGCTGTTCAAGCACCAGTGATAACAGAACACCCTGTCCAAGGCCAGCTTCACAGCAGGGCACACCCCCAGCAGCCATCCATTCTTGCTTAGGGACCGAAACGCAAGGTCCAAAGTGTAACTCGTTACTCACCGTGTCCTCCTCTCAGGGTCCACACTGCAAGGCGCAACAAAGCCCAGCTGTCTACCCCAGCAGAACACAGCTGAGAGCTGGGCTTTACAGTCACTGATCTCTGAGCCACCTGAGCTGAGCTCAGAGCACAGGTCACCTTTGCGGGGCCTCTTCTCCCAGGAAACCCATTTGCCTACACTTTGGCCCTAGGGTTAAATGTGCCATTGCAGCTTCATCAGACACACTGAGACACCAACAAACTCAACCATTACTGCTGCATGCCATTCCCTGGAGAAAGGCACCCTCTGGCATAATCTCACCTGTAAAGGATTCAGGTCCAAACATTTGTTAATCCAACCACTGGAACCACAAAGTACAGTCTGGCTTGTGGGTTACAGAGGGCCACAACCACCTTACCCCTAAGGTTGGCTCATCACTTGTGTCAACACCTGAACGTGCAGAGACCCACAAAGGATCCAAAGCAGAGCATGGGCTTATCACCTGCACCTGAGACCTGTTGGAAGAGTCCAAAGCACTTCCCCAAAAAACTAACTTCTGCCTTGAAAGCTTTGTATTAGTCTCACAAAAGCTTCCATGAATACCTCATTCTTTAATTCTGCGGCACTTGAAAAGACCCCTTTCCTTCCAGCCCTACTGTGGAGTGCTCTGGGAACTCCAGAACTTCAGGCTGCACTCACCATCACCCTGAGATGACAATGCAGCTGCTAGCCAGGAGTAAGTCCCTGGAGCAGCAGTGTAAGGCGCATCGAAAGGGAAGGCAGGCTCCTTTTCCAACACAGGCTGATATTCAGAGGTAACAGTCCTACCTAGCAAAATAATGCTCTTGCCTGCCCTAAAAGGTTACTGGAGAGTATTTAAACGATGGGGATTTAAAGTCTTGGTAATGTTGAGACTTACTAGTTGGGTTTGTTCCAGCCATGTAAAAACTAAGGTTTCTCCAAGGGAAGACCTGCTTGTTCCACAGAGATCTGTAGCTGCCTTACACTAGCATCCAAGTGTGAGACGGTGCACCTTGTCCCAGAGAGCTGCTGGGAGGTATTTGGAAGGGTTTGGATATATGGGCTTTCCTGCTGCTTGCTCGGCCTTCCCATAAAGCTTGTCTTTGAGAAGTCATCCTCCCGGCTTGGCACTACAACTCCAGACCATCCATACAGGTAACACAAGGTTCATTCTCAGAAGGAAGTTCAATTTTAGTTACAGAAACCCCAAGGAAAAGCCTCATTATCAACTACCAATTTGTTCTGTACTAGGAAAGCTCTTGAACCCTGACTGGCACTGAGTGATGTAAAGGGCTGTTCAGGGCAATTCGGAACTAGAACCCAGCTTAGGAAGCCTGAGCCAGGAGCAGGTTTTACCTGGAAATGTAAGTTGAGCCTGGAAACTAGCACATGGACTTAACCAGTGATGGCCCTGTTTAAGGGTCTAGTCCTTAAGAAGTCTAGAAAGAAATCAGTGTCTTGAGTTAAGAACCCTTTTTGTTGGATAAAGCATTTTTAAGGGCTAGAAGTAAGCCTGAATCCTGGTTCCACTATCTACCCTGGCTATAGCATTTAGCAGAAGCCATCTCCAATGTTTTAAAAACCTTTCCAGCAATGCAGAGGCTCATGAGGGAAGTTCACTATTTAAAGTCAGATAAGTCATTACTTCCTCTAAGCCTGAAGCTACTCAAAGGTTTTGCAATTAATGCAGTGATGGATTACAGGTGATTTTGTAACCCCATTTACAGAAAGTCAGCCTGCTCAAGCCTCTGTGGAAGGGCAGAGCAGCACAAGTTTGTCAGTTCCCAGTTAAAACCCCCAAACAGGCAAGACCTTATGCCTCGAACTTGGTCTAGACACAGTTACAGAGAAAGCCTACGTGTACCAGTTTTTACATGACAATTTTAAATGTCACTGAAGCTCTACTGACACTCCCACTGGTGGAGTCACAGGTGCCACACACAGAGCTCCAGAGGTTGATACATCTGCTCCCAAGGAAGCCTTTATCAGCACCCTGACCAACAGGCACCTCCAGCACCTTATAAGGCAGCTTTAACCGCCCTTCACCAGCCTGACAAGTTCTCCTTGCACCTTTGACAGCGTCCCAGTATCACAGTCAATACCTGCTTCCCACCATGACCCAGCCTCTAGTGGCACAGCCCCTCAGTTCTGGGCTGTGGGCACTCAGAACATTCCTGCACAACTTCACTTGTACCTTGTGGCAGCTCTTAACATCTGAAGCACATATGCTTCATATGCCAAATTTAAATATCCCTGATGCATTAGAAGGATGTGTTTTCCAAAATCTGTGAACAGGGTTTGAGGAAATCTCTGTGGCAGACAGTGGAAATGGGACAAGAGCTGTACCATTGAAGACTCCATATTTGTGTCAGATTATCCAGCTCCTAATCTCTAACACCCCCCCCCCAAATCAAGCTCCAACACTACCTTTAAAGAGGTAGAGCAGTCATAGAGCTGTCAAAACATTTCCCTGGCAGGTGAAGAAACACTCTGCCTACCTTAGTTCACCAGAGAAGGAATCTATGCTGGTCTCTAACCAGAAACCGTGCCATTCAGAAGTTCAATGGTGTTACAATAGGGAGAAGTTGCTTTACACACCATTCAGGACTTACTCCCAGTAAGCATGTTTCAGAGGTTAACTCCATTTTGAAATACTTCTGAGTTATTCCTTGAACTCATAAGCCAGAGCTGATTTAGAACTGTTCCTGGGGGCAAAGCACCCTCCCTCAGGGCTAGGGAGATGCCACCTGGCACCTCCACCATAGCTGTTGCTTTATTAGTCCAAAGTGGTAGCAGAGGTAATGAGGCTGTGCAGCTCCGGGATCAGGTATGAACTAGAAAGTCACTTGCCATGTAGACTGTACTGTCAAAGGCTGAAGACCAGTTGTAGCCTTGCCACTGCCAGGACTTTCAGTAGAGGCTCTGCCTCTGGCACTCAGTCAGCACTTGAGCAGCCTGCTCTTCACATCAAGTGCCAGTCCCAGCGTCAGGACCAGCCTTTTGCAGCTGCAGGGACAGCTCAGTCAGGTCATACAGCGAGAACAGGGACCTTGCAGGTGAGTCAGTGACACCCTCTCGGTACAGGGAGAGGCTACAGAGAGCCTTCCAGTCAGGGAGATCCAATAGCACAGATCCAGTTTCACCAGTTGATACATTCAGAGAGGCTCAGAACCAGCCACACACACTCCACCAGCATTTGGTCCATTTAGAGCCAGGAATTCCTCCCGTGTCCCACCATGGAGAAGCAGGTTTCCACACTGCACATGTGACAGATTTCCAGAGCACTAACATACAGAATTCCCCTCCATTAGGAAGTGAGCTAGTGACACAAGTCAGATTTCCAATTAGGATACCACAGGTTACTACCACAGCAAGCCTGAAAGACCACTTGGGATGAGCACTTACATCTGGAGCCTTTTACAACTCATCACTATCAAATGGGCTGCCCTCTGCAGCTTCTCTGGGAGCAGACAGGCACCAATTCAACACCACCTGTCCATCCCTGAGCAGGTTGTTCTCAAATGGCTGGAGAACTGTTAGAGGTGACATCCAGGTCCAGTACAGTCCTCGCTTTGCCATGCCAGAAACCTGGGCACATCCAAAGAAACAGGCTGCTTGCCACTGGTTTTCCCTGGCCCCTCCCCATCCCCCCCATTTGACACAGCTCCACCTCAGGTTACAGTAACAGATAGTCCACGGCTGCTTGGAAAAACCCTGTTGCTCTTCCCAGGTGCATCTCCACAGGACAGCCAGGGGAAGTGTACTCGGAGCCTATGCAAATTCCCATCCCACTGGCTGAAGCCAGTTCCCCAATGGAAACCTGAGGGGTAAACAGAGAAGCCGCCCTACAAGAAGCTGTAGACTCTGAAGACTTTCAGTGAATCACCTGTTACAGGATTAGCGATGGCTTTTTGCTCTTCCCTAATGTAATGAAAGGGTGTGTGGATATCCACCAAGCCTGCCACTGTCAGCCTACATTATCAAAAACCCTGCAAGGCTGGCAGGCCTTTTACTCTTGTGTCAGTAAATCTGAGAACTTAGAAGTCCACCAGCTCCTTGAGAAGTTGTTGCAATAGCAGCAATCCAAGGCAAAGAGGACTTGCTAGTCAACTGTCCAAGAGCTGGGACAGCTGCAATTGGCACTCTGGATTGTCTGACAGCACACAGAATCCTTTGATTTATAAGTATGGGAAGGCCCAGCACTTACACCGCAAAGCAAAGGCTTGCCCTTCTGCCAGCAGCAGAGTCCATCCACCCACTTGTTATTTTATCTTTATCATCATACAAGCTCCCCCCTGCAACCTTAAAGACAACCCATTTCACAGCCTGGGTGACCAGTGCCCTCTAGGTACTGACTGGCAGAGTAGTTTGTTACACCAGTTAGCAGGACCCCTTTCCACCAAGCAGGTCCAAGGGCAGCTCACAGCACTCAGCAGCACCAACAGCCCCATCCCTGCAGTGTGGAAAAGCCTGCATACAGCAGACACTGCTGTGGTCAGACCAGCCTGACCTGAAGCCTCGTGCTCACAGGATTCAGTCTGGAGGAAGTGAGTTCAGCCAGTTATGCCTCCCTGGTGAAAAGCCCACACTGCTGTAAACCACTGCTTGAAGCAGCACCCAACAGCCTGGGACGCTGTTCAGCTTGCAACCTCTGCATGTGACCAGTCAGGCTCTGGAGACAAAGAAGAGGCCAGTTTTAGGAAGGAAAAAAAGGAAGCTGACCAAGAGGTCCTGAGGCAGCTGGCATCCATGTCTGCTGTTGCTCCCAATGTTCCCACCAGAGGGGAAGCACCTGCAGGCTCTGCAGTGACTCCAGGGTGAGACAGGGATCCATTAGGAAGCCACAGTACAACCTGCAGCATAACTGCTTCGGCCACATTCTGCAGAGCCAATGGCTTATACTGACGCTCCATCTCATTTTCAGATGTTCCCAAGACTGGCATTTACTGAGAAGAAGTGACGCCCTTGTCGAGATGCCTTCCCTCAATCTCGAGCTGCAGAAACATTGCCTACCTCACTTCTGTTACAGCACGTAGGTCTTAGCAGTCCACTGCTTTACCCGCTGTAAGGACGAAGGCTTAAGCTAATCTCTGGTGCAGACAGTCTGGGAGCTCCCACACCTGCCCACACCACCAGGCCTCTAGGGCAGAGACTACCTAGAGCCGCACAACGCTCTGCCACTTCATTTTACCTGCAAGCTCCTCTTGGGATTAGGTCCACAGCTCCTCCCTGAGAAGCAAGCAGCTCTCCTGTTCCTCCTCCCCGAGAAGCAAGCAGCTCTCCTGTTCCTCCTCCCCACCTCTCAGACAGTATTTCAGGAAGCACAGGTGCCATTTGCCTTTGAGGCTGCAAGTTGTTTATAGTCACGATGCCTTCTAGAATCAGACTGTGCTGGGCTGTCAGTTGCATCAAGCGACATGTTCTGAGCCAGCAACTCCACTGTGGAGGTCCCTTAAGAGCCAACCAACTGCTATAATATCCGCAGCCCTAGTTTAAAAGAAAAATACTATTTCATTAGCTCCACAGCAACAATGAGGAGACGCAGGACTAATCTAACACTGCTGGCTGGAGTTCTCTTTGTGAGGAATCTTTCAGCTGCTTGGCAGTGCAGTGGGTATTGAAAGCACTGAAAGCCCAACTGGAGTGCGAGTGTAAGGACAATTCCCCACACCATGAGGGGCGCAGTGGGCACATCTGGGACAGCAGGCTTTACATCACCAGCACACTCAGAACCAGCCAGCTTGGCCCAACACCACACTTGTCTGTTCTGGCAGCTCAAGTCACATGGAAAAGCCACAATAATTTAATCACTCAACAACACCTGACCCTGAGCCACCACATTTTACACATGGGAAATAAGGAACTGCAGCAATGAAACCAAGTTGTAATCTGCAAATAACCAAACAGGCTGGAAGATGCCCAAGGTCACAGCAGTCTGCTCTTGTCTCTGGCTGACTAGAACAAGTTCTGCTATCTATTTACCATCAGCAGGTACTGATCACAGGTCACACAGGACTGCACAAAGTCACTTGTTTTCACATCAAACCAGCATGGACAGTACGGAACCTGAATGTGTTTACTACAAACAGGTCTCAGAACTACAAGCTCCACAAGAATGTGATCTTCAGATACAGCATGAGTCAGACATGATCACTGCACTAGTTAACACTGATCTGGAACAGTTTTAGAGAGTTTTACACTGCTTGTCCAGACATAGCTCCTTTCTTCTAAATCAGGGTGGGTTTTTTAACAATATAAAATTAGCATCAGAACATGCCACAACTCCCTTACAAAAGCTACATGACACTGCAAATTTTAGTTTATCCTATATTGACATCTCTGCCATATTGCCTTAAAAATCCAAACTGCTTCACTACAACTCCACATCTAAGAAACAATTTCTCTTTGCAGTATCTATAACCTGTTGAACCCATCAGAGGCCCTAGCAAGAGCACCTGCATGGCTCAGACCTGCTGGTATTACAGCATCACTGGTTAGGAAAGACCTCTAAGCTCATTGAGTCCAGGGCCACCTGACACAGATTCTGCACCAAGGCCCAGTCACATACCAGCAGTGACAGGACAGATACCAAGCCTTCATCAACACAGCTTAAGAACTGACTGTGCGTTACCCCACTCAAAGCTCCCCCCTGCAATCTCGCAGCACCATGCTGTCACCGTGCAGCTTCTAGGAAAGGCTGCACTGCTGGTTCAGACACGCCAGCACCACTCTGAATTCCTGTTAAGGCACTGACTCAAGCCTACATCCCTCCCCAACGTTCTGATGAAGCACACTCCCATGTGTGGCTTTAGCTTGGTGTCTAAAGCCACACAGACATGTTCTTTTGCTTCTGAGGTCAACTCTGCAAGAGGAGTCCAGTGACTCCTCCCCTGGAAAGAAAGCTCAGTATTTAGGACTATTTTACAAAAGGCAGTGTACTGCTGACTGCTTTTTCCCAACAAGTAACTAGGTCTTAGTTTCTTCCTCCATTATCTTCATTAGGTAAGAGGCAGGTAGGTTGGCAGTCCCAACACTGGCTCCTGTGGCATTCCAACCACTGAGTTTTCAGGAAATCCTTACCTGTCAAGTGCGAGTACAATGTCTGAATTCCAAGGTGGCAGGCCACCAACTGACCTCAGCACAGACATCTGCATCCCACCACCAGGCACAGACTGAGCAAGACCAAACACGGCCAGCTAGGCTTTTGTTTTACCAAAAACTAAAACCCTAAATGGGGCTGGTGTGAAACCAGTCCATGGTGCCCACATCAGCATGGCTAGACAGCTTCCTCTCAAACACCCGTTTTAATCCACCACTTGGCTGTCTGCACAATTTAATCTACCACACTAATCAATCAAGAGCAGCTTCCCCAAATCTGTCCTGCACACCCAGCCACCATCTCAGAGGCTGTATTGACACAGTGAGACCCCAAGCACACCAGCTACAGCCAATTCGATACTGAAGGGTTTTGACTGCCCAATTGGGAACCAAGTGAGGTGGCAGATGAAGGCCAGTCCATATCCTCCGGCCTGAGGAGGCACCACCTAAGACTTCAGAAGAGAAAACCAAACTGGTTCCTAGTTCTTTTATTCCCAGTTGCTGTAACACTTGCACTTGGGAAAAGAACAGCTGAAGCCTTCCCCACCCTATAACCCAAACAGACCAGCAGGTCTGCACCCCCCAGGAATCAGCAGTCACCCTGTGCAGGGGTTTAGCCAGGCTCTGAGAAAGGGAAAGCACGGCAGGATAGTGTGTCTGGTGTAACCCAGCGCGGATGGTCCCCACACCAGCGCTACCGCAGGATGACCCAGTTTACACCGCACTGAGCTCACCGAGCTCGCCGCCCGGAGCCGCACAGGGACAGGCAGGGAGCGGGACCGGCCTCGCCGCTCGGGCATCGCCCCATGGGCGGCTCGGGAACCCCCTGGGACGGCGTCACCGGCCGCGAGCGCTGGCACGTTCAGGTTTCACCCCGCTGAAAAACCGGCTTTGCGTTGTACGGGAATGGTTTAAACGCCCGTCGTGCCCGACGCACAGGGGGCCGGGCCGTGGACGGGGGACCGTGCCCGGGGGACCCCCGGCCCCCGGTGCCCCGGGGAGGCGGCGGGCGGCGCCCGCCGCAGTCACGTGGCCCCGGGGGCTCCGCCGGCGGTGACGTCACCGGCGGACCCTCCGCGCTCCCGGAGCCCGGATGGAGCGGGGGGAGGGGAGGGGGAGCCACCGCCGGGCCCGCAGGACCCCCCACCCTGCGGGCTGCGCCCCCGCCGGGCGGGGGGAGGGAAGGGCAGGGGAGAACACCCTTCCCCCCCCTCCTCCACGACAGCCCCGGTACGGCCGGTACTCACCGCTGAAGACCATGGCGGCTGAGGCGCCCATCACGGCGAAAGAAGGAGGCGTACTCGGGGGCTGGCGCCGGAGGACATGGCTGCACGGGCCGGGCCGGGCCGAGGCGCCGCTGAAGGGGGAGCGCGCAGAGGGCGGAGGGAAGGCGGGGGGGCTCCGCCGCGGCGCCGGTCCTCGGCAGGCAGCGCTCGGCCACAAAAATGGCGGAGGCGCGGCGGGAGCGGGCGGGCGGGGAGGGAAGGAGGAGGCCGGGGCGGAGGCGGGCGGGGCGGCGGCGGGGGCCGGGCGCGGAGCTCCGTCCCGGCAACACTGGTGGCGGCGCGGGCGCTGCCCCTAAATACGGCCTCCGCAGCCAAAATGGCGGTGGCCCGCCCGTCAACGTGACCGCCCACCGCCCCCCCCGCCCGCCCCGCCTCGGCGCGCACCGACGCGCGCGCGCGCGCGCGCGGGGGAGCCCGCCAGCCTCCGCCGCTCTCCCCACGCCCCTCTAGCACCATGCCGCGGCGGGGCCGGCCGCAGAGCGGCCGGCAGAACACGGGCCTCCCTGCGCGTCCTCGGCGTGCGGGGCAGGCATTTGGCCGCGCCGGCCGCCCCGCTCTGCTCCCCTGCTCTCGTCCCCCCTCTCTCCCGGGTGGGCCCGTCCTGCCCGGTGGCCGCGGCCCGCTGAGCGTGATTCAGCGCTCATTAGCATAAGAGGGCGTGGTCTCACCAAACCACGCCCATGAAGGGGTGGCTCCGCCCCGGGCCGGGGGCTTCGCTGCCACGTCTCGGTGTTGTGTCCCGATGTCAGATCCCGGTGTCAGATCTCGGTGCCGTGTCCCGGTGTCCTGCCCCTGCGGCACCGCGCGGGCCGCGTCCCTGTCCCCTGACCCCGGGATACGGCCTCTGCCATGTGTTGCTGTGGCCATCTGCCACCTTGGGGGTGTCCAGCCCCTGCACTCACCTCCTCACCGGGTCCAGTACCACTAGCATCCTACTGGGGTTCTCCTGCTCCCCTCCTCCATCGATCCTGCTCCCCTGGAGATTACAGCCAGCGCCTCTGGCCCATCCCTCAGGGCAGGAGAGGAGCTGGCTCTGAACCACGCTATCACCCCCCTCCATGGGCACTGCCACCCACCCCGAATGCAGGCACTCCTCTGAGCCAACCTCATCCCGAAACATCCCAGAGGGATACTCCTACAGCCCGTCCTGGAAGGGTGACTGATGCCATTTTGTTCCCAGGATTTGGGGGGCTCCTTAACAGTCCCCTGTGTTGAGGTTTCCATGCCCCAAAAGTTACTTGAGGGCCACCTGCCTTTTCCCAGTGTTACCACTTTCCTGGACACCTCAGCCTTGTCAGAGCTCACAGGAAAGATGAGGACAGGATTTATTTGGGCAAATTCCCTGCTGCTGTTTGAGCACGAAGGGCCCTGGTGCTGCAGTGGGTAGAGGTGAGTGACACGTGCTGGGGACTGGCACCAGGATACGCCGGCTCCGAGGGGGATGCAGGCTTGTGGCAGACAAGGTCTTCATGGGGACATCCAGCATGTGGCCCATGGCAGGGACTGGCAGAAGGCACAGGGAGGAGGAGAGGGCTGGGGCACTGCTGGGGGTCAGAGGGGGACCCCATCCTGAGCCCTGGTAACGGTGGGTGCAGGGGCTGTGGGTCCCATGTGTGGAGCACACCACCACTGCCACTGCCACTGTCACCACTGCCCCTGTCACCACCACCACTGCCACTGCCACCTCCACCATCACCATCAGTGGCACCACTGCCATCATGGCCACCACCACCATCACAACCACCCTCTGGTTGCTTTTCCTACAATTGCACCCTGGGACCGGTTGTTTGTCACCGCTCTGTGGCAGGGGCTGTCACTGCTAATGACTTTTCCAGCAGCCCCCCAGAAACCTTTCACTAAGGTGGGGACAATCCCTGCCCCAGGGGTCCCGAGCAATTGGTCATTGGGTGGATATCTCACCCCTTGGGCACCGGCAGCATTGGCAGTTAGTTCACCAAATTTGGGCTGGTGAGGGGAGCAGGGGCTGATGGTGCCTCATCCCACCCTCTCACTGCAGTCTGAGCCCTTCTGGCGCTCGCCTGGGCTGTGTCCAGCCACATTGCCACCAGCCCTCACCTGGAATGGGCACCTCTCCCAGCACTGTGGCTGTAGTGAGGGGTCACTGCAGGGCTCAGAGTCCAGGCAGAGAGTGGCACAAGCATCCTGGCTGTCAGAGATGAGCCCAGATATCTGCCCCATGGGATTTATCCAGGTGTGATGGGAGCTGTCATGCTGCTGGGCCCCCAGAGGATGCTCTTCCTCCTGTGCCTGCACCCACTGCCCCTGAAGTCTTCCTGTGCCACTCCTGGGTCCCAGTGGGCAGTGCTGGCTGCCTGAAGGAGCAGCTCCATGACCCCCCACACCACAGCTGTGCTTTCTCCTCGATGGAGCGGCTCCATGACCCCCCAAACCACAGTGCCACTGTGGCTCCCTGTAGCCGTGAGCTCACAAGTTGTGCCGGCGGTGACGCTCTGGGGATGCCGTGTCTGCGGGGGGCTGAGTAGTGGGACCCCAAGGACCCTTTGGAGCTGGGGGATGCTGGGAGACTCCTTGCCCCTGTGTTGTGGTTGAGCAGCTTGAACCAAACCCTCTTGTCCTTCCTTCTCCTCCTCCCCCGCTCCTTGCTGGGCCTCACTCGGTGTCTCTGGGTCTCAGTTCTCCAGCACTGAAGATCTAACGGATTGTTTGGGTTTCACTGGAAACTGCTGATTCACAGAAGGAAGACTTTTTATGCTTTTGACAAAGCTTCCTTTCAAAATATTACATCTTGCATCTTCCCTGTGCTCTGTATTTATTCAGTCCCCCTATCCAGGCAGAGCCACAGAGGCCATGGTGGGGTCAGCACTGTTCCTGCTACACATCCTGGTGCCAACACAGGGAAGGTCTGGATGTCAGAAACAGGAGAATCCATCTTCTTCCATCCACATGGGGCTGCCCAGCTCTCCTTCACTTGCCTCACATCACCCTGGACTGACTGGGTACACAGAGGGACCGTATGCTGAGCATCCTCCCAGGATGCCCATGGAGCCACCCCGGTGGTCCAGGTGTGGCTGTGATGGGTGGAGTGAGTGGATGTAAGGATGCATAAATCCTATGTGGGCCAGAGGAGAGGAAGGACCATTTGGATGCTGGTGACAGCACGTGTGACCTTGCCCGGCTCCCTGTCGTGCCTGGGAGCTGCAGCAGGTAGCCAAGAACAATTTAATGCTATTAAGACCTTTCCACACTATTGCAGTTTAAAAGCACCACGGCATTCCCACCACAGCATTCCCACTGTGGTGTTCCCACCACCACCAGCCCTGCTGCAGCTGCATCCCCTGGCCCGTGCAGGTCCTGGAGTGATGGTGCTGCTCGGCCGGGGTCTCTCACTCAAATCGGGGTCTGTTCTGCCCCCATGGGAGCTGCACCCATCCAGTCCTCCCCGGGTGCCACCATCCCCCTGCCACCCCCGAGCAGGGGCACCGAGACTCTCCCACCACTGCTGGTTCTGCCTCGTGGAGGTGCAGGGATGTTTCTTCCTCAGGGAAAGGGCAACTGAAGGAGGGAACAAAAAGCAAACCAGGAGGCGAATGAAACGTCAAAAGCAAAGAGGCAGATCCCAGATACAGAACAACCCGAATTCCTGTTCCCACAGCAACCGGCACTCACCCCTCACCCCAGCGCCAGGCATTCCCCAGGCTGGCACTGACACCGGGGTGGGGGGGTGGGGAGCTTGTCACCTCCAGCTTTGCCTTTTCGTTTTGAGTTGGATTAACCCTCCTCTGTGTGCACAACCCCACACCAAACCCAGCCTAAGGGGGATTTTAGGTTGTCTGTTCCCATCCCAAGGAGGGAGCAGAGGGATGAGGTGCCACTCTGGCTGCCACCACCTTTTGAGGGGGCACTTTCTGAGTGGCCTTGTGGCAGATGCCTTTCCCACTGCCCTGGGCCATGCACATCTCTGTGTATGGACCAAACCTGCAGGAGAGCAATTCCAGAGGGCTCCAGCTTCTGTTGGCTGCTTTCAGCAAGCAGGAGCCAGCTACTGGCTGCTCCACGCTGCAGTCCAGTACCCCAGGGCTGCTGCCCTGCCCTGCCTCAGCTGTTTTTTGGCAAACTGGAGCAGCTGGTTGCCAGGAGATCTGTTTCTGAATGCCACAGCAATGCTGGTGGCTTTGCCCATGTCATGAAGCAGTGTGGAAGGGGTCTGGGGAGCTAGCTGGGAGCAGGTCTGGGCACGGAGGTGCCAGCAGGGAGGGGTGTTCCTGCAGGACAGGGATCTGTGGCAGAGGATGCTCCAGCCCCCTGGGCCTCATGAGGGGATTTGGTGTTAATGTGTCAAAAATGCAGCTGTGCTCTGGACAAGGCCAGGTGGGCTCCCAGCCGGGGAGTCTGATGGGGTCAGCGGAGCTGAGCCAGTACCAGGATTGGGAATGGAAAAAGCAGGTCTGACCTCAGCAGCAAATGCTGGGCAGCCATCGAGCAAACCCTGCAGAGCATTTCCTCATTCAGTGTCTCCTGTGGTGTCTCACCGAAATCACACGGCCAAGTCACGGGGCTGGGGGGCCCATCCCCCATCCCCCAGCTCCTCCCCACTCCCCGAGTCCCTGGGGTGACACCTTCCCCCAGGAGATTGGGACCTTGGGCCATTTATAAATGAGGTTCCTTTTGCTCTACTTGGGTCTTAATTAACTGATGCCCACCCTGAGTTGTTCCCTCCTTACCTGGGACATTCCTGGTGTTGGACTTCCTGATGAGACAATCGGGGGCCTCTGATCCCATTCTATTCTATTCTATTCTATTCTATTCTATTCTATTCTATTCTATTCTATTCTATTCTATTCTATTCTATTCTATTCTATTCTATTCTATTCTATTCTATTCTATTCTATTCTATTCTATTCTATTCTATTCTATTCTCACTAAGTCTCATCTAATCCTTTTCTCATCTCTCTGTCCAGGACTTTCCTGTCCTGTATAAACCCTCTGATCTTCCCCTTTCCCACACCACACTCGTGGGTGTATGCAGCTGGGAAATTATCCTTTTACCAACAGTTTCCTCAGCTCCTGGGGACAGTGTGGAGAAAAGCTGAGTTTTTTCCACCACCCTTTTCCTGATATGCCCTGTCAGGGGCCTCTCCAGGACCACAAGCTGTGCATGGATGGTCTTCATGCTTCCCTCCACAGGGCATCCATATTGGACCCCAGCACTCAACTGGCAGCAGGGATCAGCCAGGCCTTCCCACGAGGTGGTTCTGCCCAGGGTTTGAAAATAGCATTTATTTGCTCTGAGTTACCATAGTTACTGGTGGAAGTCATGCCATGCTGCTCCTGCTGCCTGGTTGGGAGATTCTCTCCAACGTGGCTCCATCAGTGTGCCACCCATGGAAATGGCAGGAATTTCTTGGGTCGCTCTCTGTGGGATGTCCCTGCTGCCCCTGGCACCCTTCAGCAAATCTCTTTATAAAGCACTGGCTGCACCTGCAGTGCTGCCACTGATTTCCAGTCCCCAGTCACAGGGTTTGCATTGCTGGGAGGAGCTGACGTGGTTTTCCTAGCACGGAGACTGGACCTGTGCTGCGTCTTGGAGCTCTTGGAAGACGGACACTCCAAGACCCCCCACCCCACCCCACGCCTGGATTTTGGGAAGTTGGTCTACAAATGGGGGCCTGGAGCAGCTGAGGTGTCCTGGAGAGGCAGTTTTGGAGAAGTGATTCTTAGCGAGAGGGGGTTGCAGCACGGGAAGGACACTCGGCTGCTGGGAGCCACGTGTGGGCTGTGCCCCCGATGCTCCCATGCAGAGACACCCAGAGAGGTGTTAGTGCAGGTTAGTCCAGCACTGGAGTCTCGCAAGGATGGGTTTCCTGAAAGAGGCTTGCAGGAACAGGGTGATGTGTGTTACCTTCCTGTAGCCACAGCAGACACCATCCCACAGGGAGAGCCAGGAGCCAGCCTGGCATGCCACTGGGACTCACCTGCCTGTGGACATTCTCCTGCTGCCCTGGGGACACAGGCATGGGAGGAAAGGAGCGTGTTGGGGACAGGATGTGGCAGGGCAAGGCAAGGCCCAGGGTGCCACACTCTGGCTGTGGGGCCACCTCTTCTTGGGAATGGAGCTGCTGGCAGATGCTAAGAATGGGCAGCCACAGGGTGACAAGGAACAGAAGGATGATTTTGGGTTATCACACTCGTTTTTGGGAGGAAAACCCATATTGGCTTGTCCCAGGAGATGTGAGGGCAGAAGCTTTCTGCTGCCTGGGCGGGAGCTGCTTCGGAACCCTGTGCTGGGCTACCCGAATCTGCCCTTGGCCACTGGGCTGGAGCAGTGCCCTGGCTCTGCCCCCACATCCCGCTCCTCCCCCGCGCTGCCAGCGCTCCCTCGGCCCGGCAGGCGGGGAGGGAGAGGAAGCCTTGGCAGAACACGACGCTTCCTGCAGAGCTGCCGCGCGCAAGACGCTGAGGAATTGCTGCCCTTCTGCTCCGAGCTGTGCCAGGGCAGGAGCCTCCACTGCCCTCCCTTCTGCCCGCCCTGCCTGGCTCAGCTCGAATCAGTGTGCCCCACTACTAATTAGCAAATTAAATCCAACCCCTCTGGCACTTTCCAGGTGTTCGTGCACAGCTGCTGTGCTTCTGGCTCCTCCAGCCTTGGCTCCCGTGCTCTGGTGGAGCAACACCTCTGGCACGCTGCCCTGCCGTGCCTCCAGGCTTCCCATGCCTATGGACCCCTCAGAGACTAGAAATGAGACTGAGCTGGTG